ATTTTTGGATGCTTTGTGTCGCTCGTCTATCGCAGTTTTCATCAACCGTTTCTTTGCCTTACATTTCCTTTCTCTCTTCATAGATTTTGATCAAATTTGAAACGATATAACTTTGATATATTTTGGTATTTACTGTATCCTATAAGTCCACTATAGGAGATTTATAAATAATATTTCCAGGGTCGAAATAAGTCTTGTTAAGAGGTTCACTTGTTTTATATAGAAGACAAGCACATTTTAATATTCTTGTACATGACCCAAAGCTTACAATGTTAACATGAAGCACTGTCCAGTAAACATAGTACAAATGCTATTAAAATCTGGAGAAAGAGTAATCCCTCGGAAGCATTAATCACAACAAAATTGCATTACTCGGTCTTATTGAGTCTGTATATAAGGGGAAAAGTGAAACATCACTCATGCCCCATAGCACCGGCTTGACAGTCAACGCTTAAAAGTGTTGGAATAAATGAACTCGAAGGACCAGAAAAATATAATATTCTTCTGTAGCATTTGCATACACGTTTAAAAATGTTTGCCGTCTCAAAAGATGCGTTTAAAATAATCTAAACACGTCGTTTTAAACAGAAACTCATTGCAAATTCAAATTTAAACTGGTTTAGGAATATAATACCTTTGGTCAAGACTTACAATTCTAGGACGTTTGGGTAAAATATCTTCGAATATATTATTTCAAAGTTGTACACCAGTCACATTTTAATATGAAGACAACATTTTTTTACAAACTAAGGGCAAGATCGAGAAACAGGATGTAATATCTTTTAAGTACCGTGCGGATATCAATTCAAAAATTTCAGCTATAGATCAGGCCGTAAGAGTGATTTTTCTTTAATCTTAGACGATGAGAGCGCAAGGAAGGAGGTGATTATTTCGCAACCAGCTACCTAAGAATATATAATCAGAGTAAATTGACTAAACATTGATTTCATGTTTCTTTTCTGCAAATCTTAGTCTTATTCCAGCACATTTAGTGTTAAAGATTGGTTATTGCTTCAGCCGGTGTTAGGGGGTGTGATATATGTTGTACATCATATTCCTTGGTGTACAGTCTCAATCAAATCCGAGTCTGCAATTTTCAAATATTTTTGTCGTTTTCAATACTTCCGATGGATCTTCCTTTCCTGTTATGTATAACATTATTTTGTAACAGTTGTTGTTTGGTTACAAACAGCACAGTAATGGTGATTTTCCAACTGAGTTGACGTTGTAAGAACCCAAGGTACCCTTTTATTTTATCATGCTCCCTTTGCATGCTCCCCGACGGGAGAGCATATAGTCGCCGCCTTGTCCGTCCGTCCGTCTGTCCCTCTGCCCGTTCGTTGTCTTGTCCGGAACATAACTTGAAAACCCTTGGAGATAATTTGTTTAAACTTCACATAGTGGTAGAGGGCCTTGAGGGGGAGTGCATTGTTGAACACAAAACTCTATTTTGCACCGTTTTTGAATGATCTCCCCTTTTAAACAAAATCTTGTCCGGGACTAATTTTGGAGTTATTGTCCTTTGTTCATTTTAACACTTTGAACTTTTTCCGGGACATAACTCTAAAATCATAAGAGACATCAACATGAAACTTTGTAGGTAGATAGATCTCATTGGGTAAAATTGCAGTGCAAAAGAACTATAAATCTATTTCGCCCCATTTTTGAATTATCTTCACTTTTAGAAAAGTTTTGTACGGAAAATAACTCTAAGACTATGAGATATATCAACATGAAACTATGTAGGTAGATAGATCTCAATGAGTAAATGTGCAGTGCTAAGAACCATAACTCTGCTTTGCCTACTTTTGGAGTTATTGCCCTTTCTTTATTTTTACACTCGGAACTTTGTCCGGAACGTAACTAAGATTATAAGAGATATCAGCATGAAACTTAATTCGTAGGTAGATAGATCTCATTGGGTAGAAGTGCAGTGTAAAAGATTCATCTGTTTTGCCCCATTTTTTAATTATCTCCCATTTTAGAAAATTTTTGTCCTGGACATAACTCTAAAGTTATAAGAGATATCAACAAAGAAACTATGTCGGTAGATAGATCTCAATGGGTAGATGTGCCGTGCACAAGAACCATAACTCTATTTTGCCTAATTTTGTAGTTATTGCCCTTTGTTGTCCCCCGCCTTTTCGAAGAAAAAGGGGGATATAGAAATAGGCTCCGTCCGTCTGTCCGTCTGTCCGTCCGTCTGTCCGTCCGTCACACTTTCGTGTCCGGTCCATAACTTTGTCATTTATGAAAGGAATTTGAAATAACTTGGCACAAATGTTTATTATAATAAGACGATGTGTCATGCGCAACAACCAGACCCCTACCTCCAGGGTCAAGGTCACACTTGCTCATTCAAGGTCAAAATTGCCTATTTGAGGGTATATGTCGTGTCCGGTCCATAACTTTCTTATCTATGAAGGGATTTTGTAAATACTTGCCATAATTGTTCACAATAATCAGACGATGTGTCATGCGCAAAAACCAGTCACCTACCTTCAAGGTCAAGGTCACACTTGGAGGTCAAATACTTACATAGTCTGTTACAGGGTATATTTCGTGTCCGGTCCATAACTTTCTTATCTATGAAGGGATTTTGTAAATACTTGCCATAATTGTTCACAATTATCAGACGATGTGTCATGCGGAAAAAGCAGTCACCTACCTTCAAGGTCAAGGTCACACTTGGAGGTCAAATATTAACATATTCTGTTACAGGGTATATTTCCTGTCCGGTCCATAACTTTCTTATCTATGAAGGGTTTTTGTAAATACTTGCCATAATTGTTCATAATAATCAGACGATGTGTCATGCGCAAAAACCAGTTGCCTACCTTCAGGGTCAAGGTCACACTTGGAGGTCAAATATTAACATAGTCTGTTACAGGGTATATTTCGTGTCCGGTCCATAACTTTGTCATTTATCAAAGGAATTTGAGATAACTTGGCACAAATGTTTGTTATAATAAGACGATGTGTCATGCGCAACAACCAGACCCGTACCTTCAGGGTCAAGGTCGTACTTGTTCATTCAAGGTCAACATTGTCTATTTGAGGGTATATGTCGTGTCCAGTCCATAACTTTCTTATCTATGAAGGACTTTTGTAAATACTTGCCATAATCGTTAACAATAATCAGATGATGTGTCATGCGCAAAAACCGGTCACCTACCTCAAAGGTCAAGGTCACACTTGGAGGTCAGATACTTACATAGTCTGTTACAGGGTATATTTTGTGTCAGGTCTATAATTTTTTCATAGATCAAAGGATTGTGAAAATACTTCGCACAAATAGTCACTATAATAAGAGGATGTATCATGCGCAACACCTGCATCCCTACCTCCAAGGTCAAGGTCACACTTAGAGGTCAAAAATTAACATAGTCTGTTATAGGGTATATTTTGTGTTGAATCTAGAACTTCTTCATAGTTCAAGGGATTTTGAAATAACTTGGCACAAATAGTCACAATAATAAGACGTTATGTCATGCACAACACCTGCTCCCCTACCTCCAAGGTCAAGTTCACACTTAGATTTTTAAATTCCGTGTTTCATTTTATTTTTTTAACAAATTTATTGTTACATTTGCAGATCTAGCATTGATCATAATTTTGGACTGAATGTCCTGAGATCCATACCTCAATCTTTTGAAATAGCACAATTTTATGCTTCATATAAAACTCCCGGGGCGGGGGACGTTGGTAACTCTGTTACAAATTCTTGTTAATTTTAACACTTTGAACTTTGTCCGGAACATAACTCTAAAACTATAAGAGATATCAAGATGAAACATTGTAGGTAGATAGATCACATTGGTTAGAAGAGCAGTGCAAAAGAGCAATAACTCTATTAAGCCCCGTTACATGTATCTACCCTTTAAGAAATATCTTGTCCGGGACATAATTCTAAAACAATAAGAGGTATCAACAAGAATCTTTGTAGGTAGATAGATCTTATTTATTAGAAGTCCAGTGCAAAGAACAGTGACTCTGACGTGCCTAATTCTAGAACTATCTCACTTTAAACTTTGTCCAGGAACATAGCTCTGAAACTACAAGAGGTGTACAGTTCAAACCGGGCTCCTGTTTACTTTGTTTTCGGTTGTTTGAATAAGTCATAATCAAAATCAATGATGTTTTCATTTTGTCTAGAAGAGGATACAAACACACTGTATTATTATAGTATGAGATTCCATATTAAGGTATGGCCATCCTAATGCATTATTTGGATCCTTCCTAATACCGGACAAAATATGATGTTTTTTCGTTGTAACTTTAATTTAGAACCATGAATAAACAATGAAGTTTTACCCAAATGATTTTGGGCGCCTAACTCACGTAAAACTTACATATTAAACCAAAATTTAAATAGTGTCTTCACAAAGGGGGCATTGTAAGAAAAAACATATCATAGTTAACAAAAGGGCATGTACGTATATAAAAACTGAATCAACAATATTTATCCGAGAGTGGTTTTGTTGTTATTTACTTCGAAATGGTAAGTGTGTGTTTGTGCGATTAAGACCGGATGATCGAAACGAAAATACAAAATTGTAAAACACTTTTCGACAGGTATAAATTTTGTCCGGTAAACTGATTGTCCGGTTAATATGAAGGATCCCAGTACGTCCGCTTTGAAGAGTATCCAAACAGTCAACTACAATGTACATTGAAACTTTCGGCCCAGAAGAGTCAATTTTTTTGTCTTTTTTTTCTTTGTTTTTAACATTATTTATGTATCGATCATATCCCTTTCTGTAAAGTTTGTTTAAATTTTGCATAAAGGTGTATGTATCTGACCTATGTTGCCAATTTTTCAGTTCAATAGTAAAACAGGGAACAGTGAATTCGTTTTTAATAATGACGTGGTTATTATCAAATAGTATACAAATATCGGTTTATTTGATTGTAAAAATGTTAAAATGGAATATCGGTTTGATCGGTTGTAGAATTTTATATGCTCTTATTATTCTACGACAATTAAGTCAACACAAGAGTTTGGGACAATGTTTTTATTTTGACACACACAAAAAAAGAAAAGACATTATCTAGCGAAAGACATCCATTACTTTGGACGGAAGTGTTTCATAACTATCTTCAAACTTGTAGAGTTGTAAATAATTCTACGCTTGTTGTTCCGGCTTTAAAAATGGAATACATTTTGCAAACATACGTGATCCCACAGAATTGATGATAAAAACATTTTGAAGAACAAATGTTAATTTTTCTTTGAATGGTTTAATAAAAAAATAAACTGTAAATTCATTGAAGACTTTGTTCAGAATAAATTGTTATGTTTCCTGGAAAAAAACTATGTATAAGACATTGGAGAAAGGCATATTTTGCAATTGAGAAAACAACCATTGTGTCTGATTTTTTTTACATAAAATGCAAATGTAATCCAAAAATCCATCTCCAATCTATTTATAAACCACATCTACAGTATACACTTTCACAAGCACCCCTGTCACAGGATTGTTGGCACCAAGTATCCCAGTAATCTCCGCTCCCGACCGATCCGCTTGACACGCACTTGCCTAATGACGTCACATCCGGTTTTCTAGTTGTTGTTGTTGTTGTAGTGGTTGGCTGAACTACTGCTTCGGTGCATTCACAATTTGCTTTTGGACACACGCCTCTATTACATTCGTTAGTGCACCTGAAAAAAAGTGCGAAATTTAAAATTTCATATTTTACATAAAAAATGTTTTTCAACATTTTCTCATCGTGAATGACACCGTTTCATTACATCACTTTTTAAGTCACTTGGACCATGATAGCCTTTGAAAGATTTAGTAGCTATACTAGCTATATATCTTTATTGACTTAAATTAAAGAGGTAACATGATTTGTGAAAAAGACTGAGGTATTTTGAAAGGATTAAGAATATATACTCGTATATAGAGGATATTTGTTTAGTTCAGTGTAAGATCGGAATATATTTCACCGAGTGAGCACCAAAAGGTATATTTCACGAGTGAAATATGAACTTTTTGTGTTCACAGGGTGAAATATATTATGATCTTACACTAAACTAAACAAATTTTCTTTTTATTTTATGCAAATAAACGTTTTAAAAAGACATTAAACCTAATATTGAATGAAAAGCGCGCCAAATAATAATACAACGTGACGTCATTTACGACGTCACGTCATTAAGTTGGTACCCAGTACTGTGCACGCTGGTATTTCACTGAAACAACGTTAGGGGCTTAAATTCAAAACAGTGAAATTATCAAAGTGGTAATTTCACTGTTTCAAACAATATTGAGGTTTGTGATATGGGTCTGGATTAAAAATTTGGTGCAAAATATACACTCAATCTTTTTTTAAGAGATAATTTTTTGAACTGTGCAAAATGACCGAAAGGGAGGCGTTTTAAATGTTTAGATTCAAATCAGGGTAAAATGCACATTTGCTCCCGTTTTATGTGCACGAGATGATAAATGTATGATTTTTATGCTTTTCTGTCTTTTGGTTTCAGTTGAGTTCCTTAAGGAATCGATAATAACCAGTCATACCAAATATCAAAAACGTCATTTCCGGCAAAAGAACCTTTAGCACGGCACACTTTTCTGACATGCGTCACTGGCTTTGTTGTTTCAGGGAGAAGAGTGGTCGTAGTTGACTGTGTGATTACTTTTTGAACTAAATCACATTTGCACGATTCTGGTGGACAGTTTCCTCGAGCGCATGAGTCTGCACAAACTCTGAAATGAAAAAGTATTTTTCATTATTTTGATATTTTATTTTCTTCTCCTTTTTGTCGTTTTTAATCATGGCAATTTTCAATTTACATAATCAACTTGCTGATTTTCTTTTTCTTTTCATATTTCAAGTTTTATTTAGTTCATACAAATTTATTTAAATCCGATGGTGTTGGAAGCTGAAACCTTTATATTGAAACACTCTTGAATGCGATCCTAGAACCAACCAGTACTAAGCAATGACTGTAAAGTTTCTTGCTCAAGGAAGCAACGGCTTGCTCCTGACAGGGTTTGGGTTTTATTTATAGACAGAAATGTTAATAAGCGGGTAAAATGGGGTTCATTTAGATAGAATGATTGGAACAAAATAGCTTACAGTCCAATATCTTCCGTAGAATGTCAGAAGAGACGCAAAGGCGCAAACAAAAGCAAACAATACCAAATGAAATGTTTAACTTGACAGGGTTGCATAAACGGCTAGTGTACGAAGTAATGTGGATGTTGTAGAACAGAAAATAATAATACCTGTCGAAATATGAATTTCCTGCCCAGTTATTTACTGCTTTACATTCAACACGGTTAACAATCTGTTGGTTTGGCTGAAATATAACATATATATAGTGTATCTTGTCTATAAATTATTCAAAATTATTCAAAGGAATTAAAAAAAATCATATTTGACAATAAAAATAGAACTTCGCGTAACGTTTCGTGTTTTATTCAATTGTAACAGCAGTTGATTTATATCGTAATGAAGAAATGTTATTTTTTTATAATTATATATATCAATTTATTGGTGTTATTTACCTTATCTGTGATTACATGGCCCGTAGAAGTTTTTGGTCTAGGCGTAGTTGTTGTAGTTGTAGGTGTGGTCGTTGTAGTTGTGGACGTGGTCGATGTAGTAGTAGGCGTGGTCGATGTAGTAGTAGGCGTGGTTGATGTAGTGGTAGGTTTTGGTGTGGTTGGTCGTTGCGTCGTCGTTGGCTTATCAGTTACAAGCTGTTGACTTCCGGAACAGTCACATGCGTAGACTGGACAATTTCCAATAGCACAATTGTCTGTACACCATTTATCTAGATTAGGATCATTGGCCCAGTTGTGAATTCCTTTACAAGACATCTTCATTCCGATGAATTCCTGTAGTTAGAAAGTAAAAGTGAGTAAAACTTAATTGAATGTGATATTCATCGTGATATTCATCGTCAAAGTCAGTAAAGCAGAATGGACATATCCTGTAACCAATTGGTATATTATTGGAGAATCCAGTATTATAACATAATGAAAGTAAACCGCCACTAAATTTGACAATGAGTGCCAGGAAATATGTATTTGCAATTTGATCTAGGTATAATAGTCAATTTTAATACATTTATAGAACAACAGTTTGCTAGAAGAATTAAGAAACTCCCGCCAAGTTTGCACAAAACTATCAAGCAATCTTTATGATAATTCACGACAAAACAAGTCAGTTTTACATAACCCTGGTTTAATAATTATATTATCCGAGGAGTTTTTGTCACAGATTTTAATATTAATTACCATTAATGTAATACATTATGATTTCTTAGAAATATTTAGGATTTATTTTGTTAGTACACGCAATACTATTTTTCTAGCAATCACATTAAAAACAGAATATATCTAATACTATACAAGAAGTAAATTCTCTATGGCAAAGAGAAGATACATAATTATTTTAATTCTGCGTGTGTCTGAAATACCTTTGGTGTTGTAAGCGGTGGTTGCGTTGTCGTCTGAACCCTTGGACCTTGTGTCACAACAGGCGGTGGTTGGGTGTATACAACGGGTGGCTGTGTGGGTCTAGGTGTAGGTTTTGGTGTTGTAGTTTGAGGTGCTTGATCGCTGCCATTTATTGCTACATCAGCACAGCCGTAAAACTCTTCTTGGTCCCCACAACCTAGACAAGATTTTCCCGTGTCTCTATCGACACCCCAACTATTTCCTAATTGAAAAAAAAACATGATTTGATTAGATTATACTATTTTGACAGACAAGAGCACCGCAATAATAAACACGTGCACATCCTCATCTGCTTGTAAGAATGATACGGGTTCAAATCTAGCCCGCAATATAAAAGGTGCTTATGCTCGGAAAATTTAATACAAGTTGAATTGTTTAGACTAGCAGTGAAAAATGCCAAAAGATCCTTAAGGCAGTTCTTATCTCAAGTTCATAAGGCAAATTTTTGTCTCATAAACTACTTAATATTTCCTTCTGTAAAAGGGTCATAAAAGTAGCAAAATGTAAATAAATTAGTAGTTTGACTTCTATACTATACTTATTGCCAAAAAGCAACACAAGACAACTATAGCTCAGGTTATTGGCCAATAACTTATGCCTGACCTCAAAAATAAAAAGCTTTTGAAAAAAATAATAATTGCATATCTGTGGCAATATGGGCGTTTAATTTTTTGCTTCTCTCAAAATAGAGTCTACATTAAAAAAATGTAATTGCTTTTATAACCTATTTTTAGTATCAAAACCGCAATATGCATGTTTCCCAATAGGACCTACCGTGTTGCTGTCAGTGCATTTCACCTCACAGTTTTAGGAGAAAAAAATAATTATATAACATCGTCGCTAGAGACAGTAAATTGTGACCATGTGTATTAAATTTAACAGCCTCAGTAACTAGGAAACATAAAGGTTAAAAAAGTTTTTTTCCTATTTAACGTGTAAACTTTTAAAGTCAATGGTACATATCTCAATTAGTTTGTCCTAGCCGTTACCGAAACAAGTTCTGCTTTTCCAAAGTACGTTAATGTATGAAAGTGGTAATGCGGTTTCAAATATACTCGTACTCTATGTCGTTAATGTGATAAGAAAATTCGAAACATATTTTGTTTAAATGACAGCCAATTTTCTTATGTCGCATAATATATAAATAAATAAATAAATAAAAAATAAAAATAAATAAATAAATAAATAAATAAATAAATAAATAAATAAACAAATAAATAAATAAATAAATAAATAAATAAATAAATTTAGTAATAAATATATAAATAAATAAAAAATAAAAAAAAATATATAAATTAATCAAATAATTAATTAATTGATCATGAATAAACAAATAAATTTATTTATTATATACTTACAAATGAAATATTGAGAAATATTGATGAAATAAAATGCGTATTTTCATTTTCCGTATTTTCACTGTAAAAATTTATTTTTCACTGCAGTGAAACATATTTTCCGTATTTTCACTGGTGTCTTGCCGGTGTAGCGTGAGATTCGTCAGACCCGTGAAAAATGTAAGATCTTACGAATCTCACGGGAGGGTCGTGAAAAATGTCAGACGTGAGAAACGTAAGACTATTTTAGTGGAGAACATTTCCTGTTGCAATTAAATTAAATACTGTCAATATTTCATTGCATCAATAAAGTAATAGTTAAAGCGAAGGAAAATTTAAGGGAAAGTCTTTCAAATTTTAATGTCAAAAATGTATATAATAAACAGAAAATTCAAGTTTTTTTCTATAAATACATGATTTATTTTCATCTTGTGGCATGAAAATTACCATATTTCACTCGTGGCTATCGCCACTCATGAAATATTTATTTTCATACCACTCGATGAAAATAAATCATGTATTTATAGACAAAACTTGAATATCCTCTATATATAAAATTAAATAAATTAAATAATAAATAAATCAGATTGAAATCACAATTTTACAATTTATATTGAACATTGATGTTAAATATTTACCAGCATGATACTTCCATTGTATAACACATTGTGTACATGTCATTCCTTTCGGTAGCTTGTAAGCCATTATCCATTGGCCAGTGCGTCTGTCATTGATCATTGTCCTAGAAAAACAGAACATGTCTTTATTGAACTCAAGTAACAATTATAAGAATCTTACACCGGCTTCCGGTACAGACCGGAATATCTAGCTCAAAGGTAACTGTTTACGGCGGTAACGAGGCTCTGCCGAGTTTCCGCTAAACAGTTACCCGAGAGCTAGATATTCCCGTCTGTACCAACAGCCGGTGTTTAATTCTTTTTATTGCATATAACATGTCAATTATTTTCGGAACAGAAATTATGAAAACTGATATTCTCATTACGCACTTTTTTCTTATAGTAGAGTATGAACTTACAACTTCATTCATAACGGAAGAATGACGTCATCCTAAGAACGTGATTCATTCATAAAAGGCGCGTGTCAATGACGTCATTTAAAGCACACGACTTGTCTTACATGGGGGGTGTAAGACAGATTTTTTCTTGCATATCAGGCAGGATTATCTATCGTTTACACCGGTGCTAGAAAACTCTGTCTTACACCCCCCATGTAAGACAAGTCGCGTGCTTTAAATGACGTCATTGACGCGCGCTTTTTATGAATGAATCGCGTTCTTAAGATGACGTCATTTTTCCGTTATGAATGAAGTTGTATGTTCATACGCTACTATAAGAAAAAAGTGCGTAATGAGAATATCAGTTTTTATAATTTCTGTTCCGAAAATAATTGACATGTAATATACAAGAAAAAGAATCAAACACCGGCTGCCGGTACAAACGGGAATATCTAGCTCTCGGGTAACTGTTTAGCGAAAACTCGGCAGAGCCTCGTTACCGCTGTAAACAGTTACCCTTGAGCTAGATATTCCGGTCTGTACCGGCAGCCGGTGTAAGATTCTTATATTTTAGCACCGGTGTAAACGGTAGATAATCCTGTCTGATATGCAAGAAAATGTTAATATGCAACACACGAGTTGCATAAAAGTAATATAACACATAGCTATTTTTCATTACAACACATGGCGTTTGTTTAATTTCTTGCATACCGGTATCAGACAGGATTTTCTTGCATATCAGACAGGATAATCTACCGTTTACACCGGGGCTAGAAATAGAGGATATTGAATGAGTGTAAGTTCCATACTGAATTTATTGCACGAGTTGAATAAAATTATATTATGCGAGCCTCTGGCGAGCATAATATTATTTTATTTAACGAGTGCAATAAATTCAGTATGGAACTTACACGAATTTAATATTCTATTTATCACATACCCATAATAAAGACCATTGAAAGTGAAATAACAGCCATTTTTCAGTATAACGCTAACATTTAGCGCTATGTTTGTATAACGCTAATGACGTCACGTCAAAATATATGCACGGCCGTGCAATACCATATTTACGGAGTCGCAAAATCGGCACGGGTGTGTGATAAAACTCTATCTTACACCCCCTATGTAAGACAAGTCGCGTGTTTTAAATGACGTCATTGACGCGAGCCTTTTATGAATGAATTGCGTTCTTAGGATGACGTCACTTAACCGTTATGAATGAAATTGTCAGTTCATACGCTACTATAAGTAAAAAGTGCATCACGAGAATATCCGTTTTTGTAATTTCTGTTTAAAAATAATTGATATGTTATATGCAAGAAAAAGAATCAAACACCGGCTGTCGGTACAGACAGGAATATCTAGCTTTCGGGTGACTGTTTACGGCGGAAACTCGGCAGAGCCTCGTTACCGCCGTAAACAGTCACCCTCGAGCTAGATATTCCGGTCTGTACCGGCAGCCGGTGAAAGACACTTATAATCTACCGTTTACACCGGTGCTAGAAAACTCTTTCTTACACCCCCATGTAAGACAATATATAAATATAGAATCCCTAAAGAAAGCCCAACACGGCAAAATTGAAAATGTTGCAGGCTCGGTTTGATTGAGCCTGTTCATGGACGGTACTGGAAAGTGCAAGTTACCGTCCACGCCCCCTAGCACCGGCTTAAGCAGAATTCAACATTTAAACATGAAATAGTAAAATTTTGAATTTAGAAACATCCGCAGATGTGTTCATACGGCGGTTATCATGGAACCTTCAATGTGACACTTCCGTGCCATTCCATGAAAAGCGGCGTATGGTCCCCAAGTAATAAAAAGCGTGTGCCCTAAACGAGAAAACAATGGGTGGAACTTAATAAAATGGAATTTTGAAAGGAGATCAGAGGTTATGAAGCCTGCGTATCACAGATAAGACGTCAAAAGACAAATTTAAAAAGCAGGCAACATATCCTAAGGGTGATTAAACATTATTCAAGTAGGAATATTGGAACCACCCAACTAGAAAATGCCGAAAAGTTGAAACTAAAAATACCACAAGCACAACAATAATGACGTGCTGAACGATCTTCAAGGATCGAAAATATAACATCATTGATTAAATGTACGGGGAGACTTTTTACAGCCGCCACACGGCACAAGTAACACGGATGTGATCATAAAATAGATAAATATAGAATCCCTAAAGAAAGCCCAACACGGCAAAATTGAAAATGTTGCAGGCTCGGTTTGATTGAGCCTGTTCATGGACGGTACTGGAAAGTGCAAGTTACCGTCCACGCCCCCTAGCACCGGCTTAAGCAGAATTCAACATTTAAACATGAAATAGTAAAATTTTGAATTTAGAAACATCCGCAGATGTGTTCATACGGCGGTTATCATGGAACCTTCAATGTGACACTTCCGTGCCATTCCATGAAAAGCGGCGTATGGTCCCCAAGTAATAAAAAGCGTGTGCCCTAAACGAGAAAACAATGGGCGGAACTTAATAAAATGGAATTTTGAAAGGAGATCAGAGGTTATGAAGCCTGCGTATCACAGATAAGACGTCAAAAGTCGCGTGCTTTAAATGACGTCATTGACGCGCGCATTTTATGAATGAATTGCGTCTTGGGATGACGTTATTTTACCGTTATGAATGAAGTTGTAAGTTCATGCGCTACTATAAGAAAAAGAGCGCAATGATAATATCAGTTTTCATTATTTCTGTTCTGAAAATAATTGATATGTTATATGCAAGAAAAAGAATCAAATACAGACGGGAATATCTAGCTCTCGGGTAACTGTTTAGCGGAAACTCGGTAGAGCCTCGTTACCGCCGTAAACAGTTACTCTCGAGCTAGATATTCCGGTCTGTACCGGCAGCCAATGTAAGATTCTTATAATATAACTAATAATGATAAATAATAATAATGATAATAATAATAATAGTATGTGAATAAAAAATGAAAATATCTTGTATTGACATTTGTCTGTAACATTGCTTAATTCTTAAATATCACGCAAAATCTTAAAATAAAAAAACAACATCTATTTGTAATGTTATTAATTGGAAAAACATTTACTTGGGTCCAGTGCCGTCTGCCCTTTGAAGCACATGCTGGTCAAGACATTCCTTAGTGACGCGTTTCTTGACGTCATTGTTTGGGCAAATCCTGAATTCCATCCATCCGAAATGGTTTGCAGTAAGGATAATCGTAATATTAAATTCAACCCCCATCTGTAAAGACAAGTCAAACATTTATTTCTTTATCATTATCGGCACGTTTTATGTCGGGTAACAAGTCCTGAAAAAAAAAGTTATGTCATTGAGGTCGCATTTTTTAACGTTAGCCGGTTAGGTTAAAAAACTACACATCAAAGTTCACCCTTTGTGATATGTTTTTTTGCAGGACCTTTCTTTTTCTTTCTTATTTTTCTTCTACATACTTTGTTTATTTGGTACTATCCATACTTACATTGTATGTGTAGACGATAGTGCCTGTAGCATACTTCCCACCAGCCTCGTTATCACGTATGGCGTTTTCACTCACCCAGGGGTCGCCACATATTCCACATTTGTCACCATACCCCATCCTGGTCTAAAACACACAACACAACTATTGTTACATTATAATGTGTATCATTAAGTATAAGATAGAAACAATTTTTCTTATAAAAATTTAGAGTTCTTCACGGGAAAAGTAGAATGACATGGTCAGTACAAGCTGGGAAGTTAAAATTAAATGTACGAGGAGTACGCGGGGTTTTTTGTGTTTTGTTTTTTGTGGGGGAGAGGGGGGGGGGGGGTGTTGAAATAATTAAGTAGCTCCGTATTAGTACTATTTCTTTTTTCTTTTTTGTATCAACTTCCCATTGATACAAACAAGTCAGAGTATTTGTAAATATGTGTAAGTTATTAATGTGATTCCATATTTATATAAAAAAAATCGAAGATGAAAAAGTGCCGCATTTTCCGGGAATTCACTTACTGTTATGAACAAAAATGAAATGTTTGCTGATTTTACCATACGAAAAAAAAAGTTATATTGAGTTGCTTAATCAATTTTAACATCAACCACGGTCATTTCTTTTAAACTGATTGATCCAAAAGTATAGTACACATCATACTTTCTTGAAAATTGTAATTTCGACGCTTAGGAAAAATTGTAATGTTCCAAATTGAACATCTTCCATGTCACTAAAAGTAGTTTTTCCATCAACCGTTTTTATTTCTTTTAAAATGATCCAAAAGTATATATTATACATTCTTGAAAATTGTGATTCTGGGCGTCGAAAAAAATATTGGTGATATTCCTAAGAGAACATTTTTTTCATGACTCTGAAGTATCCATACTTACAACCAACACTCATAAAAAGACATTCTTGAAATATTAAATTTTATAAGTACATTATAATCACCAAGGGGCGTGCACTTTTATCAGATTCTATATCATTCACCTTTATGGCAGATTCCAATGTAAATACTGGGATGACAAAATGTCAAATTGATGGACCCATTAAATCCAGTAAATTCCTACATAATCCGTTAAATATTATTAAGCGATTATTTCAAGATGTATATAAATATATTTGGTGATTATGTGCACCCACGGTGTCGTTGGATATGTGAACAGCCATACTTCACTCCACGTACATAACTCGTACACAAATTCTTTTCAGCCGTACGTCGGAAATTCTAAATCATATACATGTATTCATTGTCTTTCCTTATTTCAGAGATATTTTTAATCATCTTTTTTACAGGATTTTTGTCAGTAATTCAAAGCCAGTAATTTCCTTTGATTTTGATAGGTATATTTAAAGATTATTAAAGAATATTGTTTCATAAATCTTACTAAAAATTATTATCACATTTTTTATGTTAAAGCACGTCCTTTCCGGAGATTTGATTGGCTAATATTTTCCAATTTTTATCCATATCTATATGGTAAGGATGTACATAATTGGATATTATAATCTTACTAAAAATAAAGCTAGCACGCATTAAAGGCACATAATGCCTCAGTAATGAATATTTTTTTCGATTTTTAGAAAGGGCAAACATGAGTTTTAAAATGTTAAATAATGGTTTTAGAGAGTGTTTGATTACTGATCACCTGAAGAAAGTAGCACTGAATTTGAAAAAAAATATCTTAAAAGTAACACAATGTAAACAAAGTAGTAGTTCAAATTCCATACAACACTATAATTGACAAAGGCAACAGATGTTTCAGATACTTGGCCAATAAGTACCATTTTAGAAACTATTAACAGGGCATCAAAATAAAAAGCTTTGGAGGAATAAAATTTAAAGTATTTCTGAAGCATAATGGGCCTTTAAATAAATTATTAAAGATTTTTAAAAAACTTACATAGTTTCACAACAATAATAAAATATTCATCAAAAAACATATAAAAATATTAACAGTGAAAGATTCATTGTTACTATTAATATTTTATGATAAGCCTGCAATTTAATGAAATACTTTTAACGTTTTCAAACACGTAATGTGCATTTAACTTTTATTTTTTAGAGAATTTTAAAAATAAGAATATGATTCAAATGATCTATTCGCGAGAATGTTTTCATTTAAAATAATAAAAATATAAAATGTATGTTCAAAATATTCAATAAATTACTTACAATCGTTTGAACAAAAGACCTATTGTCATTACAAGGAGTCGAATTATTTCCGATATGTGCAAGATTTCTAAACCTTGCGCGTCTTGTTCCTTTTATATTACATGCAACTTTAAAGCGGTGCTGGTGAGAGGGTAATTTCTTGCATTTGTTACGTTTCTAACTTATGCCAAAACAGACAAAAAAGCATACAATTATTGAACTTACTTTTTAAGAAGTATTTATATAGTCCCATGTTTCACAAAGTTAATTCTTTATTAAAATAAATTCTTACAAATTTCACATGTCTTATTTTAAGACATGTCTTATTTTTAAGATTTCGTTGGTTTATTACGATATTAATTTGAAATACGAATTTAACCTTTGTAACAATCTTAAAATCCAAGGATAAACATTGACGGATATTGAATAAAAGATGAATTTATTTCATCGGTAGAAACATTTTTTTTTCAGGAAAGAAAAAAAATAAATAAAAAGCAAACAAAAAATTATAAACCAGGAACAACAAACAACAACCAGGAAACAAACAAAATCAAAAGAAAATAATAATATGATAACCAAGACACACAACAAAACTTACATTAAATCCACCGCAATAAAGCCCCATGTCATTATAATTCTTTGGGGTAGGAAATCCAAATCTCCAAGCGCTTGAGCGGCTAACTGGTTCCATCATCCAGCCATGGCTAGACACTTGTTGAAATATTGCACACGCTAAAATGATTTTTAAAATCATCGTTTAATTAATATTTCTGATGCAGATATAAATAAATAGACAAAGGCACTGAACGATAACAAAATTTATATTAATCAAAATTTACTAATTTCTTCACATGAATGAAGCAAATTATCCCCTCACTCCGAATAATCAGACAATCTGAAAGTAGCGCAGTTTTGCGCTTGATAAATGTAAATGACAAGTCCTTCCAAAAAGCATGTCTTAAATGTCTATGAACGATCACATCCGGCTAATATATACCCGAAGATATCGTTAAAGTACCCGAAATTTGATAAGCCGCATTCAACCTAATTGACACAAGAGGAAATTTCATTGCAAATTAGCCAATGGTAGATAAGCGCTGATTGGTTATTTCTCGTTGTAGTTACACGAACGCCATATTGGAATTCTTTCTTTCTTTCTTCAGGCACCGAAGAAAGGTTTTTCATACCTCAAAAGCTCTTTGTAATGATAGTTATAAAAAAACTCTTAAGTCACTGCGATAATTTTGTAGTGATAAAAAATAGGAAATATAAAAGGGTGTGTTCCTACTTTCCGCTTGTCAATTTCAATTTTTGTGTGTGAACAAGATTATGTCAAAGTGTGCATTTTTGTAAACAATGTCTATCTCCATGCTGATTTGTCCATCAACTGTGTGATATTAATATATATATTTGTTATTTTGAGAATTACATATTGAACAAAATGGTGCACGTTTCAAACAATACACAAAATGAGTTATACCAAACTAAAATTATTGTAATACTATCTGCAATTTAAAAGTCTAACTCCCAAATAGACAACCTTATTTGTTCTTAAAAAAGAACTGTGTTCGGAATTTAACCTGTCATGGAGAAAAGCAGTTCGGTAAAACATACCGAAAAAAACTTTTCAAATACACGCCCCCTTCCCTTGAATTTGTCCCAATCCTGTCGAGTGTCCCACTGGGCACCGTTCCGGTTATTCTATATGACTTGACATTGTCAGGACTGCGTTCTGTAAATGTTGCTTTCCCCAATAAATTGCATTTTGCACGAGCTTTAATGTTGAACATCGAAAACCGCAGGCAGACACAGGCAAAATTTTCATTTCTTAGTTTTTAATTCTGTAAATGCCCTCAAAATGAATATATTAAACAGTCAAAGGAACAAAACATTTTTCCATATAAAGAATAAAATTGTGGTTTCCTTCTTTGACCCACATGGGTAAGGTTAGAGCGTTAGGATTTCACAATAGTTGTCACAGTGAACTCTTGAAATGTTGAAGAACATGTCAAATGAATGACTTAGACTTGTTTAATCATACCATATCCACAATATCTGTTATTGTATCTTCAAGGGTGTGTTCAAGTCACCTGACTTGTTTTAACACTGTTAGGTGATTCTATTGGTAGACCATCTAAATTTTGTTCAACATTTATATATTTACGCTTCAAACCCAAAATATATAGAATTTAAACAGAAATTCATGCTGAAACTTCAAGAAATGTCATTTTAGCGTGATTTGAGTACATAAGATCATTTTAATAGTTTTGTCATTATTTTGCCTGAATATCCCTTAAATGCAATGGACCTGAGAGATGTTGCAATTTCGAGCTGGCACAAATTCACAAATTCGCACAAACAATTTTAGTGTGACCAGCGATCCTTGTGTAACAGTAAAATGTTAATGTCTTAATAATATCTTTAAATAGTTGCGATATAAATGTAACGGAATTTCATTAAAAGTTTTTGTTCATTTGTTTAAAGTTTAAGTAAAGAAAAAAAATAAATTATAAAAAACAAGTATGCTATTTTTAAAGTGACTTTAATTTATATTTTTTTTAATTTGAACTGAATTGGCTTGTGAGGTAAGTGAATAAGGAGAAAAAATTTATAAGATTAATACTTTTCTTGAATATACAAATGTTGATTTGTATTTTATATGTATATATGTATATGTAATTATTCGGAAAATGAATATATTCAAACTAATTGGCTAGTATGTATTTAAAAAAATGACTAATATTTTAATGCTTGATAAAATTGTTAAGGATAGAATTAAATAAAAGTTACTGCCTGAAAATTAAAAAAAAAGACTGAACAGAATCTGGTTAAAATCAGCTCTTAATTAACACTACGTATTAGGATCTGACGGCACGATAAGAGGTCATTTTCTTGTGCTTTATCAAACAGCCAATAATTGGCGAGCTCTCACAATTTTGAAAGCGATGCGGTTTCTAATTTTAACTGCTTGAAAACCAATATATTGTACCACAGATTTATATTATACTCGTATACATATATATGTATTTAATATCCGTGATTGTATATTTTACGATTTCGAGAACAAACATGGCTTTTCCATATTGCCAGCAGGTAAACTGGCAAAATAATCTTGCCCATTAAGATTTGATTGTATTATTTGCAGTTAATTAGTCAATGGCTGATATGCAACAAGTTGTCTCTGAATCTTTGCAAGGGTCAATCCTTTTTGGTTTTAAACAGAGATTGAAATCTCAATCCACCCTTGATATTTCCTGCAACGGTAAACATACAGGGTCCAAATTTTCAGTCAAATATCTTGATGCGACCATTGACCAATCACTATCTTTTGAGGCTATGGCAAGGTCTGTTATCAAGAAGTCAAATACTCCTTTGGAGTTTTTATACCGTACAGGTCAGTTCCTTACTTATTATAAAAGGAGATTACTTGTTATGTCCCTTATTTAATGTCATTTTGATTACACAGCATCAGCCTGGTTTTATGGATTAACACAAGAGTTGAAAAACAAGCTACAGATTTCACAAAATAAACTCATTAGCTTCGTGATGAACATACATCCTAGGTCACATATTGATAAAGAACAATTTTCATCTCTCAAGCTGCTACCTGTTGCAAAAAGGGTGAGATCATCTGGTTCTATGGCATGTTTTTAGAATTAGTTCCAATACTGCCCCTGGTTACATGTGTGAACATTTTACCACAGCTTGTAGCGTTCACAATTATCTAACTAGATTTAGATCTAAAATTCAAGATTCTTACTCAGACCTCAGTGATATGGCAGTGTTTGACAGTAATAGGTTTGCAATTCCTAAAATTAAAGGTTATGGCATTTAAACCAGGGGTGTACATTGTGGAACTCCCTACCTCAACATGTAAGAGATGCCATAACCATGTCATCTTTTAAATATAAAACCAAAGAACACTTCTTTGAAATCATCTAAGCCTTTTTGTTGATTGATTTCCATTAGCTCTGATTCTTCAGTACCTCATAACTGTGATTACATCGGAAAACCAAAATATGGCGAGTTTCGGATAACTTCTATTATGAATTTGGTGACCTGTTTACAACTGCTACTTAACACAAGTGTAGCCAGTGTCATCTGAGTAAATTGCCAAATGATAAAACCATTTATTTATTATATCTTTAACATCCATCATTCTACGTGGATCACTTTTGTCATTCATTATCACAATTCAATTTCTAATTAGGATTGTCACTTCTTATGCATGTATTATATTTATCGCAATGCATTGCATATAAATAAATAAAGAAATAAATAAATAAGTACATAATAATGATAATAGATAAACAACTTACATTAAATTATGATAAGATAACCAAGACACATAACCAAACTTACATTAAATCCACCGCAATAAAGCCCCATGTCATTATAATTCTTTGGAGTCGGAAATCCGATTCTCCAAGCGCTTGAGCGGCTGACTGGATCCCTCATCCAGCCATGACTATACGCTTGTTGAAAAATTGCACACGCAAAAATGATTTTTAAAATCATCGTTTAATTAATATTTCTATAGCAAGTTTAGATAGATAGACACAGGAACTAAACCGTTACAATTTCCTTCTTCACATCAAATGAAGTAAATAATTCTCACTCCGAAAGAGTCAACAAGTTTAAAAGCTGAGAAATTTTGCGCTTGTTATTTAAATGACAATTCGTCCAAAAAGCATGTCTTAAATGTCTATGAACTGTCACACCCGGCTAATATATACCCAATATATCGTACAAGTACTCGAAATTTGATGACACAACAAGGAATTTCATTGCAAATTAGCCAATGGTAGATAAGGGCTAATTGGTTATTTTTCGTTGTAGTAACACGCACGCCATTTTGGAATTCTTTCCTTTTTTCTTAAGGCATCGAACAGTATTTCATACCTTAAAAAGCTCTTTGTTATGATAGTTTAAAAGAACTCTCTTAAGTCACTGCGGTAATTTTTTGGCGATAAAAAATAGGAAATATGAAAGGGTGTGTTCCTACTTTCTACTTGTCAATTTCAGTTTTTGTGTGATGACAAGATTATGTCCAAGTGTGCATTTTTGTACACAGTGTCTATCTCCATGCTGATTTGTCGATCAACTGTGTGATATTAATTTATAAACTTGTTTTGTTATTTTGAGAATTTTATATTGAAAAAATGGTGCACGTTTTAAACAATATACAAATAGAGTTAAGTTTCTTCTATAAAATTATAAACATCATCAAATGCATCTCCTACAACCACCATTCTCGAATACCATTATCAAACCAAGGATATGGAAACTAACTTTCATAACTTTCTGAAGATAGAGAAAAACGGAATCCCTAATTCCATGACAAGCAGCATGTGGTCCCCATGTAAAAGACAGAGTGTGCTCTAAACGCGCGAAAACAATGGACGGAACTAAAAAATGGAATTTTGAAAGGGATTCGGAGGTTAAAAAGCCTTCATATCACAAATAAGACGTCAACAGACAAATTTAAAAAGCAGGCACCATATCCTAAGAGTGATTATACAGTATTCAAGTAGGGATTGCATATGGTCCCAAAGTAAAGTATTAAGCTGTAAAAAAAGTTGCCCCGTACTTCACTTCAGTGTTCTTATATTTTCTGATCCTTCGGGATCATTGATGCCAGCACTATTAAGTGTTGAGAATTGAGTACCGCTCAAGCCAGTACTAGGGGGCGTGGGGGATGTTGCACACATTCATTATCCCTCATGTACAGACTCAATCAAGCCGAGTCTGAAATTCTCTTGTAATTTTGATGTGATTAATACTTCCGAGGGATCACTTTGTTTCCGGAATTTTATACGACAACTGAATTTAAATATCATATTCTCAAATAACAACCTTTTTTGTTCTTATTCGAAATCTTCATTGCAACATATAAAGGAAAATTTCGCGAAATGAACACCAAAGAAACTTTTCAAAGACACGCCCTATGAATGTATGCACAGTTTTCATATACTAGACAAATAGACAGTTTAAGATCTGCATAATATTTTTTTCAACCTAAGCATGTTTTTATTTGTTTGGGTCGTCAGACAAAACAAATAATGGTAGAGAAATTTCATTCTTAGGAATGAAGAATATTTTTGATTTTCCCCAGCTTATCCAACAGCACAGTCACGTCCGCAAAAGGTTAACTAATCGATTTTTGTGAACGGTTGTACACCGTGAAGCTTTGACGGGTAACTGGAAATTACATCGGAAACCCAAATATGGCGAGTTTTGGATAACTTCTATTAGGAATTGGGTGACCGATTTAAAAACTGTTGATTAGCACAGATATATGTATTTGTCACGGGTTAAAGCAATAAAAATTTCAAAATATTTATACGTTAGTCAATGTTTAAGCTAATATAATAGGTCGCTTAACTTTGGAACTCTTGACCCTTTAGTCCACCGATTAAAGTTTATTTCCGAATAGGGGTAATTATTTTATGAGAACACCTCTTAATTCACTTTTAGGGGACAGTGACTTTTCCTATATATGCCTTATGTTGTAACGCAGTAGAAAAAAAATGAAAACAACTGAACACATAGAGTAGTACTTGTGGCCTTTGCCTCAACGCTATGTAAGATTAAAAAATTATTTATTTACTTTTTAGTTGATTTTTTTCTTAGTTTTTCTTTCGACAATTAAGGTTTAAAGACACAATATGCCTCAGAAGTGTTTTTATTTTCTTTTTTTAAGTTACTCATTGACTCATTAACCTCAACAGACTTTTGCATCCTGGCAATAAGTTGATATATATAATATATAGTTATTTGATATTTGTATGGAAGTCAAAATACTACTGATAAAACTTTTGATTGTCCTTCCTAAAGAACGGAAACAAATGTTTCTTGGCATAATGTACCTTTAAGACAGCATATAAGAACCCATGCCGCTTCAATCTAGAAAATCGAAGTTGGACATGTCTTGAGGAAAAAATGTTTGAGTACAATTTGAAGAAGTATTTGTATTGTAACTACATGGCAATAAATTACTGATTTATGGTTCAAATATCAACGACCATACGTAATTCAAATGATCATTTAATCATGAAATGACTTTACATTTTGAAATATTTATGTCCAAATGCGACCAAATACCTTTAATGTAATCTTTTCACATTTTCAAACATCATTGAATACATTGAAGCAAAAATGAGTCACATTTCTTGAACAGGAACAAAAGTCTCTTGTTAGGCACATTAATGGGGCGGAAATACAGAAATTCATGGAAAATTTTACATCTTTGAATTTCTAAAACACAGCTGTCGATGTCGTGTTTATTTAATGCAAGTTTGTTTTAATAAATTTGTTTCATAGATTCAACTTACTGCTATTTGATCCTGTTTGCGGTCAAATTAGGACTATTTTTTATGAACGTTTAAAGAAGTAACAATTTGTTATCAGGTTTACTTATCACACCCTCGGTGGAAACGTAAACATGCGCATTTTTCTTAAGTCGCGTGTTGATACGGTTAAAATATTTCATATGTTTGTTTTTCACATGTCGCTTCTGTAATGCACGTCTGCGATTTGTAGTTGATCAAGATGTTTTGGTATGTTTTTTTTATTCAATGAAAACAAATACGTAAATAATTGTGGCATTGCTGATATTAATATACTTTGTAACGAACGTATCAAATAAACAAAATACATTTGAAACGACATGTCACGTTTGATGATCATCGCAAAATCAATTTAAAGCAGTTCTTTTATGACTCACATTTAACATTAAATATAAGGGGATAATAGATTAAAACGTGCCCTTTCTATCAAATTTCTTTTGATAAATCTAATACTTTGTTTATTTGATTCGTGTTTTTGCGCCGATTTAAAAACATGTTTGGTTATATCTCTGCGTTTATTCACGTAAATTAACCAATTATAAATCCGCGGTGAGAGACAAATGACCTTTTAACGTAAAATATCTGAGATCAACTGTCATGAGAAATTTCGCCTGGTCCGGGGATTGAACCAGCGACCCCTGGGTGGACATAGCGTCTCGTTAAGATATTTTTGCCCCAAATGGGAAATTATAATATGAAGAAAAAAATTGGAACTAGCGCAGAGAATTTTTTTCTAAAAAGCCGGAAAAAGAATGAGGATCGTTCGATCGTTTTCGAATTATCTTCCCTTGAATTGTCGTATATAGGCGCATTAGTTCATTATTTCAAAAGGAAATAACTAGTATATAAGTCTAAATTATATTGTTTTAACTATTATTTTATACTTTTGCTTATTTCATTTTTAGTCACAAAAGAAAGTCCATTAAATTTAACTTTTTTCAGTTTAGGAACAGAGACTGAAAACTTAAAAGATTTTTTGGAAACTGTAAAGAACGGCTATTTTCTTCAGACCAAAAAATGGTACAAGGCTAAGTAAAGAAGAGAAATACACAAACGACTATTTACCATTTCTTGAAATTTCGCACAAATACCCAAAAGGAATACAACTACATAAAAATATGATTATAAATGAAAAGAAAAACGATTTGTTTACCCTAAATGTAAATTATCTGCTCTCGAAATAAGCAAAATATGCAAATTCAAAGGCAGATAACTCGTTAACGTGCCCGGTGACCCACAATTCTTTTTCACTTAAAAACAATTCTAGATCAAACAAAGATTAAATGGATTGTTTTAAAATGTTTTCATTATTTCTATATGTCTAAATGTATGTACCGCGAGTCTCAGGAAGAAAATGCTTGTATCATTACGATGATAAAGGTGTGAGTACATACGTTGATGAGATAAGATTTTTTTCAAATGATTCACGTGATGTTGTTTTTTTTAATTATAAAAATACCAAAGAAAAGTTAAACGTCAACGATGACAATCAGGCAATTGGCACAAATGATCTACGTGTGATCTCCGATGGCACAAATGATCTACGTGTGATCTCCAATGGCACAAATGATCTACGTGTGATCTCCAATGGCACAAATGATCTACGTGTGATGGTCAATGGCACAAATGATCTACGTGTGATGGTCAATGACACAAAAGATCTACGTGTGATGACCAATGGCACAAATGATCTACGTGTGATGGTCAATGGCACAAATGATCTACGTGTGAGGGTCAATGACACAAATGATCTACGAGTGATGGTCAATGGCACAAATGATCTACGAGTGATGGTCAATGACACAAAAAGATCTACGTGTGATGACCAATGGCACAAATGATCTACGTGTGATGGTCAATGGCACAAATGATCTACGTGTGAGGGTCAATGACACAAATGATCTACGAGTGATGGTCAATGGCACAAATGATCTACGTGTGAGGGTCAATGGCACAAATGATATACGAGTGATGGTCAATGGCACAAATGATCTACGTGTGAGGGTCAATGGCACAAATGATCTACGTGTGATGGTCAATGGCACAAATGATCTACGAGTGATGGTCAATGACACAAAAGATCTACGTGTGATGACCAATGGCACAAATGATCTACGTGTGATGGTCAATGGCACAAATGATCTACGTGTGAGGGTCAATGACACAAATGATCTACGAGTGATGGTCAATGACACAAAAGATCTACGTGTGATGACCAATGGCACAAATGATCTACGTGTGAGGGTCAATGGCACAAATGATCTACGTGTGATGGTCAATGGCACAAATGATCTACGAGTGATGGTCAATGACACAAATGATCTACGCGTGAGGTAAAATGGCACAAATGATCTACGTGTGATGGTCAATG